GTGTACGGTTCGGTCGCTCGTTATGGTCCGCAATCAGTTGCCAGCGCAAATGGTTAATTTGTATTGTGGGATTGAAATTAAGAATTCATCTTGCAATAGTGTCCAGCTGTATAATAAGTGTCGTGTAAAATAATGTCAATTGATGAATTTGATATTAATGTAATGATAAACATAAATTTTAATATCAATTGGCACAATCTGAGAAAATCTTTCGTGGCATGCTGAAACAAGTAAACAGATTTTGATCGAATCTAAGGAATTCTTTCTTTGGAATTCATTGATATGTGATATTGATATAGCTCTGATATAGCTCATTCTTTCGATGTATATTTCTCGTAATATTACGTATTATTTCTGATAAGATTCAGAACGACAGTTTATTTATTTGTAATAATAATCAGACGAGTTCTAGTATTAATTTGAAGAAAAATATCTCGCTAGGATTATTTCTATGTCGATTTAGGTATCTCTAAAATTGAAATAAAAATACCAAACTTTTCGATGAAAAGAATTTGCACGAAGCGACAGACACTTTCGTTATAAATATTTCCAACATCTTCATCGAACGTGAAACCACGTTTTCTTCTTCCAGCAATTCATCTTCCACTCGTCATAATCAATACTTGCAAGATCAACAAAAAGCCCAAATGCGTTTGATTTCAATTACAAAGTGATAAAAAATATTTTTCTTTGAGAATAAAATCACCATAAATTATTTCCTCACGTCGTAACTTACCCATCACTGTCAATACATACTTGCAGGATCAATATGCACGTCCTCTTCTTTTTTTCTCGTGTTTAAACGTGCAATTTAATTTCAACTACGAAGCAAGCCAGTTCAATTTAATTTCAGCTACAAAGTAACTCAATTCAATTTAACGTTTCAACCAGAAAATATTTCAACAACGTTCAAGACAATTTTTTTTTTCTTCCGTCGTGGTTAACACTTGCAAAATCAACACAATATCAAACACAACTATTTCAACTTAATTTCGCGGGCAACGTCGTGCGTTTAATGTTCATCGATGAATGATTTCGGCAATTTATTTTCACCCGAGCCAGCTGTTTGAAAGCCGTGCGTCGGCTGACGTAAACGAATCGTAGAAATATCTGGAAACAGCGAAAACAGGTACATTTAAATTTGTCAAATTTTTTTTACCAGCGCATGGTGATTTTTTAACGAGGCGAAAAAAATTAACAATTCGAACGACCAGCCTCGACAAAGTTCAACAATTCAAGACGAGACGCGCAAATTTTTTGAGCACACGTGAGATTTGTAAGTTCTGGCTGACGGTGTCTCTTTGGATTGCAAACAAAAAAGAAAAAAAAAAAGAACGTTGAGTCATTTTCTTGAAAGATGTTTGAGAAATTTACGACAGTGTGTTTTCATTGTCGTGGAATTAATTTTGTCGCTAATTAGAATTTAAAATATCTGATATTTATATGGGACAAAGTTCGACTCGTAAGTTAATCGATAGATATGTATTATCTAATATCTCACTCTCTGCTTATCAATAGTTGCAACGTCACAACTAACGCACTCACTCGGATTTCAATTTACTCGTATAGTCATTTATATTTTTATTTAAAGAAGGATTTATCCTTAATTTCAGGAAATTTTTAAAATTAAGGTTTCCTTCTTTTTATGGAGAATTAAGACTTTACTAAATCAACATCATATAGGACAGTTCTATTGCTTAAAAAGAACTGTACTCAACGAAATTTTTTTCACTCCGTATCCGTTTAAGATAATATAAAAGTCATATAAAGAAGTTCAATATAAAAATATAAAGAACAATTTTGTTGTGTTCAACTTTTATCTCGAGAAAATATTTAATACTATATTATTATAGTATATAATAATAATAATTTATATAATTTATTAATATATATAATAATATATTTAATAAAGAAATGAATATATCAGCATTGAGAATCATAATGTTAATTGCCAAAATTCTTCCGTTTATTCAATCCAAAATCATTGTTATATACCGCTTCAATGCAATCCCATGAAGAATCAAAAGAGCCTTCTTCCACGCGATTCACAGCATATTCTCAACAATAATACCGCGTCGATTCAGTCGTTCCTCTAACTGACATCATTCTCAGTTGAATTTTCATTTAGAAATTAGTTTTAGAATTTCTCGTTCGATCGGAAAACCGAGTCACTGTACTCAACGACGCTTGCACAATTATGAAATGAAGATCGACAACTAACTCCCCTTTAGCAAAGAACTGCAGAGATCGAGAAAGAAGAGAGAAAACGAAATCTTCCATAAAATTGCAAAGCGCCGCAATTTTCAACGATTATTGTCGCGATTAGTCGAATCGCCGGCTCTAATGTCCCGCGTTAGAGAGGAAACAAAGAAAGAAGGATAGAACGATGGCGACACGTGGTTGACACGCGTAGAGGGAATCGCAAGGTGGCGATCACGAGTGAGACACACCGCCGTGACGACACGATCGGATTATATTTAGAGAAATATACGTCAGAAGCCGGATCGCGAGGAGAGGTCGAGCCGCGGCCGATGAGCTTTCGACGAAGCAGAATGTTATGGAACTACGTCGCGGCAGCTCCGTCACCGAGGTTCCCCGCGTCGATCCTCTCTTTCACGCTCTGTCATCGTCTCAGTTGCGCATTTATTGATACTCGAGCAGTTTTCTAGTCTTTATCGTGCTCAGATCAGTCAGTTAAAAGTGTCTGGTATTGGTGACGAATTTTTTTTTTTTTTTTTTTTTTTTTTTTTTGTGTCAATAAAATTGCACACTTGGCGAGGAGGGGAAAATTGAAAGTTTATGTTAATTGTGATGCTTCTGGATTTTATTTTTTTTTTTTTCTTTTGCAGTGAACGATTGTTGCTACTACGGTTAAAGACTTGTGTATTTTGTCTGCCTTGATAGAAACGGTGATTTAGATTAAAGGCTTGTGTTGATTGTTGTGTCCGTTGAAAATGCAACTTTTTCGTGCTTTTCGTCTGGTGAAACGATTTCCCTGTTTCTATTCTTCTTTGCAACGATGAAGATTTGGAGACTCATTGTTGAAAGTTTATGTTAATTATATTAAACAAAAAATCTCATTTCTCTTCTTTGATGTCAACATTGGTGTATTGTTGATTGAAGAATTTTTTTTCTTAATGACAGCGTGCTTGAAAATGACACTGCGGTTAAAATAGAAAAAAAAAATGTTGATTGACGTTGAATTTCTAAAAAAAATTGCTCGTATCTTCAAATTGATATACTAGTCGAATGAAGTTCTGTATTGATTTTCCCCGATGAAAGTGTGATTAATATATAGTATATATTACTCCCAGACAGAAGATAACAAGTGTCACTGGGATCAAGAGGAAATATTTACAGAACGCTTGTACGTCTCGTCAATATTTGATCTCGAAGAGATCGACCGAGAAACAATAAATTTTCTTAAGGCTCCACTGTCAAATAAACTACTAATCTTTTCGCGCATGAATTTATTAAAATTAAAAGAAAATATCTACATACTGAAAAGAAATTTTCACTTTTCTTTCTGAAAACAAAATAATAATTATAACAACAATAACTATTAGATAATCTATGAAAATGATGATTAATTAATCTATTTCATTCGTTCAAAATTTATTTAATCTTTCTTTCGTTATTCACAGAATAGATTAAACAGATTAAATTACTCGTTACAATTAGAACGTTTTCCATATCTTTTAGAATACTTGCAATTTAAAAAAGTGAAATCTTGATAGAAAATTGGTTCTAAGAAATCCCTATTTTATTTTATACAGGATACATTTATTACGCATTATGAAGAATAATAATTAATCCTTAGCCTCAAGTCACATTGCAACGACAATTACGCTCGGAAGCTCGATTAATAGAAGTTCTCTCGTTAGCGTGACGAAACGATGGAAATCAGCCACTGATGGAAGTTGTACAGTGGCGCAATTGTGGCTCGCGCCGCGATTTTATCGAGCCTCGTCCGGGAATTAGCGTCGTCATTAGCCAACTCGATAAGTAAGTGGACCTTCGATGATGCGCTAATTCACTGCAACGCGCGTTTCAATATTAAATATCTCGTCTCCGGATGTTCAAACGGTCTTCTCGACCAACGGGACGTTTGTTCAAACGATCCCCCAAGCTCTTTGAAGTTCTCCAACCGTTTGCTATTCCGCAACTATACTCGGAACGTTCTTGCGTTCTTGCCGGGATGTATTTTCGAATTTCACCGGCGACGACTCCTGCGCTTTCAAATATTGAAATTTCGCGATGTTTGAAGTCGCCGAAGTTCGATTCGAAACACTTGGCACCGCGGACTCCTCCGCGGGTGTTGAGGTGTTGAGAAGCAGAATTTCCTGGAATTATTTTTAAGCATCGATTTCCTGCCCGTACACGCTCCAACATTTACGTAGATGTTGCTATTTCTGGCTGGATTTCATTTGATTATGAAGTTGCGGGCGCGAAGGCTAAAATTCGATTCTTTGTTGTAGCTGTGCTCCAAAGATAATACGTGAGAGATGTTCCTCGCTCGAAAATCCTCGTGCAATTTAAATTCGAAGCTGCAAGTAAATAGCAAATATTGTAGTATTGATAAGAAGATCGTGATCGTGATGTTTAAATGTCAACATTCACAGATGTGTCTATATTTAATTTCGACAGAGTATTTTTAACTCGGCATTTGTTGACTATTAATGGACTGCGGATGTTTATGCACGCACAAATATGCATACGAGAAACGTATGCGCAAGAAGTATCGATCGATGTGGTTAGAATGTGGCCGCAAACAACATCACACTTTTACTTATTTTCATTTTCGAATGTTAGTTTCTTGACAAAACGTTCTTTCCACGTTCCTCCTACTCTTCGAAACATTCCTGAAGTAAAATAAAAAATACCAGAGATATTTCGTGCGTCGTTAAAATAGCGTCGTGGCATTATCTTCATGCGACTCGCGGGGGTTATTGCTCGTAAAATAAAAATATGAATAAAGTTTATACTTTCGTATGTTGCAGGAACAAAGAAGTCTGAAAGCTGGCGATCTGTCGCATCAGGAAAGCAACAACATAGCCGCGTCCACGATGAAGCTCCAGAGCGACTCCTTTAGCTCAGAGAAAGTAAGAAATCAAAAACAGAAAAAAAAACCAATAATAACACTAAAAATTCTCCAACTCATTAATTCAATACTATATTTCTACAAGACGAATGTTAACCCACCCTGATTTATTTTAAAGATCTTTAATTAATTAATTGTATTTAATTAATTGTAGGTCTGTAATTAATTGATACAAGTAAATAGTATTTTTGAAAAAAAATTTTTTTTTTAGATAATATAAAAATTTTAAAGGATTATGTTACTTTTCAATTCGTTTTTAAACTGCCTAAGTCGATATTAATATATTGGAAAATTTTCAGCGCTTTAGTAAGAAAGATTTAATTAGTGAATTAATGAGTTGGAGAATTTTTAATATTATATATTAAATATCATATATTATTATATTATTATATTAAATAATATTAATATTAAATATCATATTATTTTTAGTACTATATATGGAGAATTTTTTAATATTAACATATATTATTCGCCTCTTCCAAAAAACTTAGTAATCCAAGCCACATAACATAAAAAGAAAAAAAGGGAAAAAGAAAAGAATCTCACAGTAAACATGCCACGGTTTTCCACGAAAGTTCACGATACTGAGAAACGTGGAAACGTTCGACGGCCACCATCAAGTAGAACCGTTCGTGTTTGGCCAGCCACCAAGCAAACATTCGTAAGCACGAGTCCCCGTGCCGTTCAACCGGCCCGTACATTCGTCCGGCGTTATATTATTTGGCACACGTGTAGGCCACGGTCGCGTTTCCAAGACACCTCGCAAAATTTATACGAGCGATCCCCACTGGGGAAAAGTGGGATCTACGAATTTAAACGGTGACCAGTTCACTGGCGGCGTTCAGTCCTTCTCGATTTTTCCAACCGGTAGCGCGACGCCTCCCCTGTCCTGGAACACGATGAAACCGGGAATGTTGCGGAAGTGCAGCCTAGACTCGAGAATGGTACCTGTGTTGTTTTCATGTTCGTCGTTCTTCGAATGTTTTTAACTTCGTATAATGTTATCGAATTTGATCCCTTTGAAGAAAAAGCGAAAAGGAGTTTGGAAGTTTTAAAAAAATTTCATGCTTCGGAAGAATTTGAACGGTTGTTTTCAATTTTTGTCACGATTCTTCTCTCCGAGTAGTTTCCATTTTGTGTTTTTGGTGTTTTTTTTTTTTTTTTTTTTTGGATTGGATACATTCTTTGAAGGAAAAGCAAGTGTTTTAGAAGAATTTGGAAGTTTGTAAAATGATTCTTGAAATGCGGTGTGCTTTGGTTCTTTTTGTAAATTTGGAGAATTTGGGATATCAATTGAAACGAGTGGAATATATCCGAAACTTTGCTGTTAACTCTTTCGAATCTTTAATAAACCGCGAAGCTTCGGTGCAAAATATACTCAATATTAATATTTAATTTCCTTTCCATATTTTTGACATATTTTTCTAAAATTTCATGAAATATCAAGAAATATTTACGACATTATTAATATTAGCAATTTCACCTATTGCTTGTTTCCTAATAGAGTAAATAATTTTACATTCCTTTCGATAAGTACAAAAATTCTAAAAAGAATTGTCTTTCCCCACTTCAGAAGGCCATGGCAGCGCAACAACAACGACAAACAGTTACGTCGACCGGTATCTTCAACCACGAGAAGCACATCTCCACAGCTAGTTCACAATCGAGCATCACAATCGCCAAAGGGATCACTTCGAAATCTTCAATGATCAGCGCTGCGAGTGCTGTGAATCAACTGATGAATGGCATGAGGCCGGCCGAAGATGAACTCCTTTCCCTGCCTCTCGACGATCTGGATCTTCTGTGCTCGAAATCGAACCCCCAGGACGTCGACCGTGCCATCGCCAAATACTCCAATTTCCTAGACAGTTTTGTGGAACGTCTGAAAGCGAACGACTACAAAAACGGCAAGGCGCCGCTGTTGTTGAACAGAGTGAACGAAATAATCAGAAAAGCATGGGCAGTGCCGACTCATGGCCACGAATTAGGGTACAGTCTGTGTAACACCCTTCGAACAAGAGGCGGTCTTGATTTATTAATGTCCAACTGCGTGGCCAGCGACAAAGAACTGCAGTTTTCCTCGGCCAGATTGCTGGAACAATGTTTAACCACGGAGAACAGAGCACACGTGGTGGAACACGGTTTGGAGAAAGTTGTGAACGTTGCCTGTGTATGCACAAAGAATGCTAACTCAGTCGACCACTCCAGAGTGGGCACCGGAATCTTGGAACATCTGTTCAAGCACAGCGAGGGGACTTGTAGCGATGTGATCAGGCTAGGCGGTTTGGACGCTGTCCTATTTGAATGCAGAAAGAATGACGTTGAAACGTTAAGACACTGTGCCGGTGCCTTGGCCAATCTGTCTCTGTATGGTGGTGCAGAGAATCAGGAAGCAATGATCAAAAGGAAAGTGCCTATGTGGCTGTTTCCATTAGCTTTCCACAATGACGATAACATTAAGTACTACGCCTGTCTGGCGATCGCTGTATTAGTAGCCAATAAGGAAATAGAAGCAGCAGTGTTGAAGTCTGGTACGCTGGACCTGGTCGAGCCGTTTGTAACCTCACACAATCCTTATGAATTCGCCAAGTCGAATCTAGCTCATGCACATGGTCAGAGTAAAAATTGGCTCGAGAGGTTGGTGCCAGTATTAAGTTCAAAGAGAGAGGAAGCCAGGAACTTGGCTGCTTTTCATTTTTGTATGGAGGCTGGTATCAAGAAACAGCAGGGCAACACTGAGATCTTCCGCGCGATAGGTGCCATCGAACCGTTAAAGAAAGTAGCTAGTTGCCCAAACGCGATAGCATCTAAATACGCGGCGCAGGCGTTGCGATTGATCGGAGAGGAGATCCCTCATAAACTCAGCCAACAGGTGCCACTTTGGTCTACAGAGGATGTCAGGGAGTGGGTAAAACAAATTGGATTCGCGGAATGCGCGCAGAATTTCGTGGAAAGTAGGGTAGACGGTGATCTGTTGTTACAACTGACGGAAGAGAATCTCAAGGAAGACATTGGTCTGACAAATGGTATCAAACGGCGAAGGTTTACTAGGGAGTTGCAGAATTTGAAGAAGATGGCTGACTATAGTAGTAGAGACACGGGGAACTTGAATAGCTTTTTGCAATCTATCGGCCAGGAGTTCTCAATCTACACGTACAGTATGCTCAACGCTGGCGTTGACAAAGACTCTATCAGGAATCTCTCTGAGGACCAATTATTGACAGAATGTGGTATCGCGAATAGTATCCATAGGCTGAGGATATTGGACGCTATTAAGAACATGCAGCACAATCAGTTGGGCTCTTCGGAGGATGAGTCGCCAGACAAATCTTTGGATGTATTTGTTAGTTACAGAAGATCAAATGGATCTCAATTGGCCAGTCTGTTGAAAGTCCATTTACAACTAAGAGGTTTTTCTGTCTTCATTGACGTCGAAAGGTTAGAAGCTGGTAAATTTGACAATAATCTGCTACAAAGCATCAGACAGGCAAAACACTTCCTCCTTGTGTTAACGCCCAAGGCTTTGGAAAGGTGTATACAAGACAGTGAATGCAAAGACTGGGTTCATAGGGTAAGTTGTTGATCCAGCTTATAAAATGGAATATCTGTGGATATTGTTAGAAAAATATCTAATGCGACATTAATGGTGTTTACAGGAGATTGTAGCAGCTCTACAGTCGCAGTGTAATATAATTCCAATCATAGACAACTTCCAGTGGCCAGAGCCTGAGGAACTTCCTGAAGACATGCGAGCAGTTTGCCATTTCAATGGTGTACGATGGATCCACGATTACCAAGACGCCTGCGTAGACAAACTAGAAAGGTAAACGTGAAAATTTATGGTGACTCATAAAAGTTTAAAAAACACATCTATTTTACTGACGCCTCCAAAATGAAATCCTTCATGTTTAAAATAACAAATCGTTACATTTTAGAAATAACAAACTTTCTTTACTGTAAATAACTTGCTTTCTTTTTCATTGCGTCGTTTGCAATTCCATCCTGAACGTGTGCTGAAGATTTTCTTCAAATAAAAATTTGATTTTCAGGTTTATGCGAGGTGAAATACCAGTCAGATCAGACATCCCGAGAAGCATCGCGCCCAAGGACGTGACGCAACCAAACACACCGAGTAATACGAACATTCGACAACCACCGAGTTACCAGCGCATGCACAGCAATGAAAGTAGAGGCAGTGATAAAGATTCGACAGGAGGGCGAGATTGACTAGAAGGCCCGCCCACAGCCATACCGAGCAGGTATCTATTCCTTTCACAGAAATGAGATCCACCCAGAAAATTAAACTTTTACTAGAATTTAGGTTGTAACAATTCTAACACTTTTTTTTTATTTCTATGCAGCCAGGATTAACAATTGCGCTAAAGCAATCAGTCATGTCTAGGTCAGTCGAGGTTTTATTTTACATTTATGTTTTAATCGGTGTCTTACCGGCTTGTTTCCGACATAGTCTGCTTATTTTATGTTATTATTGTGTATTGTAATTTTTATTATTTACATAGCAATAAAGTGTATTTCACGTTTAAATGTATTCGATCTTAGAACGATTTCCTTGCAATACATCATTAAAATTATATTCATATGAATATATGTTCATATTATGAATATTGATAATGTTAAAAAAATCATTCTAAGATATGTTTAGTGATATATGTCCAATGCAAAAACGGAGCGATGTTTCATATATGTCAACCTTCTACCTTGAAATAATAAAACTAGGAATATATGCTGCATGATTGTTGTACTCGTGACTGTATACAAATTGTATTTATTTAGCGATTCACAAAACTAGAATCCACTACTATTTTTATTCATATTGTAGGCTTAGAAAATCGTCAAGTCCGTCCCGTTGGTTAATGGGTTTACCGCCTACGTCTCCGCGATTGAAATTCACCCATGCACAGTCTGGAGGAAGTCCAATGCCACGAAGACCTCCACGGCATCCTCCTTCTCCATCCAGCAGATCTCGTTCGTTGGAACTGCTCGATCAAGATGAAGAGAAATCGATCTCTCCTGTTAAAGAGCCAGAAGTACAGGCGAGACCAAGATCGAGAAGCTTGGACGGCTTGTTAGATGAAGATGGTATAGTGCCAGAAATGAAGACTGAAGAATTACTGAAGCCGGACAACGAGAGTAAAATTGACTCTAGGATGTTTCTGGAAGCTTTAGATAAACTTTCCGATACTAAAGTAAAGGACAGTCTTTCTCAAGTTGTACCGGAAAAGGCAGAAAGCAACGTAGAAGAAGGAACAATTGTTAAACTTCATTCTGACAAGTCTGACGAACAAGGGGCAAAGTCGAACGAGAATCAAAATCCAATACCAGTTCCTAGGCAGCGATTGAAAACAGTTACAGAAACGAAATCGGAGCCGGTTGATATTGTAGAGCGAGAAGAGGTGCAAAAGTCGTCGAGTTTCGAGATGAACAGCGGCAAAGAGGGACAAAATGTACCAACTCGACCGCCCAAACCAAATCGATTCGTAAGTGTAGATACAGCGTTGTCATCTGTGATTCCGAGCCTAGAAGACGAGAAGAACTCCCAGGCTTGTTCAGAGAATGTTGATTCCTGTGATAGTAACACAGAATTAAAGGAACGATTGGTGGTAACGGGAAGCGATAAGTTGACACTGCTCAAAGCAAAGAGTTGTGGCGCGGGGTTAGATTCTGACGAAAGCATTTCGTCAAACGAATACAAGTCACGGGAGCAGGGTTCCTTGCTCTCGCTTCCGACAGGAGCCGAACCGAAGCGAAAAAAGAACTTTATGGATAAATGTGTGAACAAGATGCGATCTTTCATGAGGAAATGACTTTTGTCAAATTACGACGGCACGCAAAGACTTGTTATTTAATTTTGTGACAATTAATTGTAATATATAAACATATTGGTGATCGAGCTGCACGACGTTTGTCATATGTATTCGCTCGTTCAAACTGTTTTCCTATTCTGTATTACAGAATCGCCTCGGTATTTCAGTATTTCCTTTCCTTATCTTTTTTTATCTCACAATCACGTATTGTGTAATGGATGTACATATTTAGGATGTTGGTAAAAAAGAAGGAAAAAAGAAAAAAAATAATGTAAAGTTCTTCGGAAGTCAAATCATTACTAATGTAAGTGTATATGAGTATATACGATACTTAAGAAATGTACAGTGAGTAATGGAATGATCATGGAGCGCCGTCATGGTAAAGTTACGAATTATTGTAACTTTGACTTTGTACAATGACAGGCAGCATAAAAATGTAATTAATGTTGTGCCTATTACAAAGTGTCTTTTTAGATATTCAAGATTAGGAGATATGAAATTTTTCTCAAATATACACACACAAAAATATAAAAGGGTAGCCTGTTCCTTCAGGTGGCTCTTATATTTCCTTATCAAATTGTATTATAGATATACATATATTATAAATGCGTAAATAGGTAGTATTGTTATTTGTAATACTATATTTTTTAGTTGGTTTTTTTTAGTATACCGTAATATAATGTTCCACTTGTAACATGTGTTGCGAGTGACGGCAGCTAACCCGTACGAAGTAACAGAAGAAATTTTAACGTAACAACCGGTTATATTATATTTTATTGTTTCATAAGCGTTTTTACTCTATCACGTTTAATTGATGTTATCTTACATACGTAGAAAGTTCGAACAAAATCCGTACGAAATGAACCTTATGAAACTTCGATATGCACTATTCTAAGATCCTGCCTAACAATCGAGAAATGTATATTTTACCAAAGTTTCGTAAAGTAAACAAGAATTTTATCAAAAGTTCTGTTTTCCATGTAATAAATTTTATTGAACAAACTATTAAAGTATAATTTTTTTATCAGTGGTACATTCTATAGTTAATTATACAATTCAATGATGTATTATTAGCATATGTACAATTAATATGTATATTATTATTATTATACAACAAGAGAAAGATATTAATAACATTCATTAAAGATGAAGAATTATTAAATCTTAGTAAAATAAAACATTTGTTGCCCTTTAATTTAGAACTATTAAAATATTTTAAATGCATTAGAATGAAATTACTTCATCTATTTATAATATCGTCTCTTCCTCTGAGTCGTCTCATTAAAATCATATCTCGAACTTGAAGAGTCACACGATTTGCGTGTTGCGTCAATAGTATACAATCCTCAAAGAACTGAACTATATAGGCTTCAGTAGCCTCTTGCAATGCTTGGAGTGCAGAGGCTTGTATTCTATTGTAAAATTATATAAATTATATATGCTTGTTTTTAAGATTCAAATATTTGAAATTTTACCTGTTTATTCCACTTCTAGGAAACAAGTCTATCATAATATCTCTAACTAAACGAGTGAACGGTAATTTCGGTATAAGCAAGTTTACACTTTTTCTGTAATGTCGAATTTCGCGTAGAGCATGCGACTTTCGAAATCCACGTTTGTTTACTAAAACGTGAGTCTAAAAAAGAAATGTATAGTGATTAATAATAACATTCTGTACGAGCAACTAATTTATTTAAGTAGTGTACTGAAATTAGAAACGTTTAACTTCTTCAAAATGTACTTACTTCGGATTTTTTGCTTTGTGATGCTCGCGAATTGTTAAGTGATCTAAAATAATAATTTCACAAGTATTTTTCACGAATATGTATTAAATGTTAAAAAAACAATAGTAACGTTAACATTTCATATACAAATTTGGTTATAATAACATCAGGATACATTACGTGAATCTCACGCGTTTGAAAATGACAGATTCAAATTGGCGTTCAATATAGTAATTTTCTCGAGGATTAAATTTATAAAGATTATCGTAAATGATTTCTAGTACTCTAGTTTCATTAAAAATATCATTATTTAATATATTAATTCACGTATAATGTCTCTACTGTTAGTCATATAATATATGTGTAAACTAACCTCGTATCACGTTTTCGGCGTACCATTTTTAATACTTAAGTCTATCTAAATTGTAATGTATATATGTTTTGAATACTTCTTATTATCACTTTGTCAGTTTACACATAATTTAAATAAAATATTAAGTTATAAAAAAACAAAAAACACAATTAGAAACAATCTCGGTCAATGGCGCCAAAATGTGATACATGTATACATGTATGTACATATATTTGGCGGGAATCTGAGGCAATATTCAATAGCTCATAATTAGATGGATTTGAAGTAACAAAGCCATCCAATTTGTTTGTAATACTCTATAAAATATACAAGTGTATGTTTTGGTTATTAACTGTGTTTAATAATAATATAAAAGATACATAGACCAATGTATGGAGCTCCATGTGTAAACACAAGGCAAGAACATAAATGTGCAACAGGTAGTATATCTATATACAGATAAATCAATGAATCTAAAAAATAATCAATTTCGCATAAGAAAAATAACATTTTATCAGACTTAACAAGTATATATTTTATTATTAAAATATAGTGTGATTGTATTTTATTTTTTATATATTGAACAAAAATATCAACAATTAATATCTTTTTTATGACTTAACAAGTATTTTTTTCAAATGCGCCTTTTTTACATATTTATCTATAAATTTTATTTTACTCCTTTTTTCTATTGATTCTGTGGATGTACTCAATAGATCTAAATCTTCAATAGATGGTAAACTAATTGTCTCTGTGATTGTTCCATCTTCTTTTTTATTATTTTCTCCTTTTATGGACAGTTTCTTTTTTGTCCATTGTAAAAATTGATTGTACTTTTTGTTATCTTTGTATACATTATTAAATTCAGGAGGATTTGAATTCTTTATATTAAATGTTTCTTTACTATTTTGTAATTCAAGCGTTTGTACTTCTAAAGACTCTACATGTTTAATATCTACTTCAATTTCATTATTTATATCTTTTGCAAGAAGAGCATTAGCATTTCCTTTTACTTTATTTGCAACTTGTACAGAGTCTTTTAATTTTTCCCAGAAATCGTACAAACCAATTCTATTATAATCTAATACAAACATGTATCTTAGCTGTGGTGGCAATTTGCATATTTCATACAAACATGGTATGATCTTCCTTTGTTGTTTGTCTAATTAAAACAAACATTACAATATAAAATTCAAATTATATAATTTATATTATTTAATACGTTGATATTAATGCTTACCGATACCCAATGCTTGAGCATAATTCAAAAAGAATTTATTTGCTGGGCTTTTCAGAAAATTGGATGATATTATAACAATCAGTCTGTTACAACGTTCTGATATTAGAGTCATTATAGCTTCATGTTCAAATGTGACTCCAGCAATTAAATCACGATCTTTTACACAAAGCTGAAAGATATATTTCATTTATATCTTATCATCTTTTTATACAAAATATTAGTTTTACTTTTTTACCTTCAAGTTATATTTATTTTCCAATTTGTTCAACATTTCAGTGGCCCAATTAACATCTTCATCAGCATACAATAAAAACGCATCATAATACTGATTTTCCAAGCCTTGTCTTAGTCTATGAAGATCATCTGTTAAAAAATAATAATCTTAATAACTTTTGACTTCTTATCATACAACATACAACAGTCACTATATTTTATGTATTACTTGCCTACAGTAAGAACTTTTTCATCAATGTCATTTGAGATTATTTCAGCTGATGTCTGAGACTTTTGCAATTGTTCTAAATATTTTTCACCATCTCCCTCTGTGATATAAAAGAAAATAATTTAGACTTAAAATAAAATATATTTAATTACATGTTATGGTTAGTACAAACCAAAAAGTTTTGATGTATCATCTAAGATATCCCATCTTTCGATTTCTTCCAAAGCAATTTGCAAATCTTTAAGTGTAACATCTTTCTCTTTCTGTTGCCAAGTTGTTAAAATATAAGTAGTTGGATCTGGATGTGATGTTAATAATGGCATTATTTCTCCGCTTAATTTGCAAAAATGTGCAAGACCTCGCCAATCTCTAAAAGTTAAAAAATAGATGAGAATTGTTAATTACTAGAAGTCAAATAAAAAAAAAGTGTAAGAAATTTATCAGAATGTAAATTACCTAGGTAATCCATTTTCAGAAGGTAAAATTTTCGGAGGATTTAATAATGACGAAATAGCATATTTACTTTCGATGGACAAAGCAACAAGTGGTACTGTCGATAGATCAATTGTCATTTTTTGTCATAACCTAACCTCCAATTATTTCTACCAAAATTATTTTATTTGATACTATCAAGTACCTGTTTTATTCCACGTACGTTAAATTCTGATAATGAAGGAAATCCGAGAACGTATTAAGAAATAAATCGAACTTTTTAACATTAAATTAATGTTTCTCATCGCGCTGTCACTTACGACAAATAAAAACATTTTGACACATGAATCATTTATGATACATTTATCAAGTAATACTTTTCATTCTGCGTATTTCATTATTTGATGTCCTATTTAATTTTTCTCTTTACTGTTAACGCAATTTTAATATAAGATACTATATTGCCCGTATGTTTATTTCGAAATGGATTTCTAAGAATCCACAAAACTTCTATAACTAATGAAAGTTTGACCTTCAATAAATACTTTAAAAAAAATTTATCTACATGTCAGACATTCTGTCACGTTGAATTTTATAAAAATTAAACAACTATATGAGAATCTTTGAAAAACATTTACATATTTATTTAATGTCAAAATAGACGGAATTTATTTATTCAGCGATGCAATAGTGAAACTGTTGCATCTAAAACATAATGAGTAGAAGTTAATAATCAATCGTAAACATGAAATATTTATGAAAAATAAACAATAATAATACATGTATTAGTTATGCAGAAAGTTCAAACAATATGTGAAAAAGATATATCAATACATAAATAATTAATAAAAAATTGACAGTTACAATATAATTCGCAAGTAGACCGTGACGGCGCTTCTGGCGCCAGTAATTGTCACTTTTCCTTTGACCGTCGTGTGAATTTGTGCGCATATTTCGCGGTGCTTATTCGTGAATATAGTGATGTTGCTTGTAAAATATGTCAATTGATTGTACACGAAAACATCACGTCATATTTAAATAAGGTATGATATCTCTATATTCTTTTTTTCTTTTTTTTTTTCTGTAACAGCTAACATCCATCTCGAAGAGGTTAACTTTCCATTTGTCATTTTTTTGACATCGTGATATCCATTTACACATAAAATTCATGTTTTAACAGGTGTCATTTTTATATATAAAAATAATAGATCATACTTTTATGTTTGTTAACTAATGTCAGACATTCATCATAATTATTGCGTATTTCGCTTAAGTGCATGCGCAATTCAAGTTTCGATTTCGAGTTAACTTCTCGATTATGGTCTTTGAATTTCGAATGCAATTACGAATGTACTTTGTTTATGCAAGAACTATTCTAAAACTAAATGTAAATAAAAAATTGAGAAATAATTGTTTTAATCAATTGAAATTGATTTAAAATTAGAATAATGTTGATAACTATTATGCAATGTATTATGAATTCTGTATTTCATAAAAAAATTTTGTCTGCGATGTTTCGTATATAATTATTCATATATGTTACCATTGTACTAATATTTTATTAAAATATATCAATGCATAGTTACATTTTTAAATTTTTATTTCCTTACATCTGTTAGAGAGTTTCCAAATTTTATTAACTCGTCATTTTCATGTTTCAGTGTTATATAACAGTGAGTGCATATATGAAAGATGACTGAACCAAAACCATCAGGAATAAGACCACCATCAAAAATTGGTCGACCATGTAGTAATTTACCACCAAGACCAGCGGTTCCACCATCACCTCCAAGACCATCAATGAGTGAGTCTTTGATAAACTTATCTATTACATTACACTCTATATGCCTGCATGTTTTGAAAAGATTACGATTTTATCCATCGTTTTCTTAGTTTAAATGTCCAATGTATTGTGTTGCTTACATGTAAGACAGTATTTAATTTGAAAAAAATCTTTGAATATTACAAAAACATCATAATTTGATTGTACACAAATGACTTTGTGGACAGATTACAGGAAGTTACTTGATAAGCTATAATATAATATTCAAGTATAATTATACTTGATAAGGATAATATTATCACATGAAGATAACATTTGATAGCAAAAGTCTCTTGACCCTTATATTATTATAATGTGATATTTATCTATATCACTCAAAATACAAATGTTATTTACTCTCGTATTTTGTCAATATTCCTTGTAAATTGGAGAAGAGAAATCAATGTGTTATTTGTATTTATAGTTTATATTGGAAATAACTGTAAAATTGAAGTATAAATAACGAAACGTTGAATGTGGTCCATATAGAGCATGCGTATATATCAATTGAAGAAACGATATAAATAAAGGGTTATAACAGTATGAAACTCAACGAGTCTCCGTTAATTCCCCACGCCACGTAAACGAGTACGCCCACGAGACCCTGAGACGTGAACGAATACTTTTACAAGCCCGAGCTCGCGAACTTCTCGCAAGTCGTTCTTCCACCTCTCAACGCAACGCATCTCGTCCGAGCGATCTGGTAAATATACCGATTTCTCATTAACAAATGCTATAATCATTATCGAGTATTATTATGAACGCTGTCTTATCAGAAAGATCAGTTGAAACAATAAATGATTTCATTTGGTGTTATTAACTGAACAATGGACCATTCGTTAATTTGCTTCTCTCAATTAATTTAATTGTGTTTTGATAAATGTATTCTTTAAATTTTTAATGGATTCTTTGTCAAGATTTGTTAGATTTAATTTCATTTAAGATTCCGTTTATTGTTTTTCATTTATTTCAGAAACTTTTTAAAGTTGCTTCTGAAAATTGTAGAGAATACTTAAGAAATATTTTATTTCATATTCTAGTTCTTAGTTATTTTAAAGTCATATTTGAATCAACAAATTAAATTAGCTGTTGAATATCTTTATCTGTTGCAATATCTTTATCTTTGTAGATAGTGTAGATCAATAAGTGGTCATTTTTCTCAATCAATCTATTAAATATCATACATATTAGAATCTTCAATTTTATACATGTTCCTTATTTACATGTAAATCATTATACTCATAGATCTGCTTTAGAACTTGTAGATCTTTCAATCTTTATATTGTCTAGTAATTCAATCCTGATGTTCCTCAGCTTCTCCAACTATGAATCATTTCAAACATCATCACAATCTTTACAACCCTTTAATATCCTATACAACCCTATTCATGTAAGTACAAAGAATCCTTTAAAGAGACTCTCAAAATCTTTCTTGCAAGGGCACCTATTGATCATCAAAGATTAAACCTTGATCTTTTTCTAGAATAGCACTACGAGATGCGAGATCCAGATAGTGTATTTGATTATTCACGATGCGCAGAGCGGAAAGAGACGTTAGCCGCGTACAAAAGCGCTTGGTCTCGCATCGAGGGCAGCTATCTTGCCTTATTGGTTCATCCAGTGGCTCCAGTTGTACCGCAGTTAGGAAGGGACTCACGGCGCGTGCAGACGCATATTGCGTTATGCAATTCCCATGTATTTATTGTACGCTAAATTTCCAGCCGTGTGTTTCATCTTTCCTCCCACGTGCTCGCCACGCTTTCCATTTCGAGCAGGAATTTTCACGGCGTCCACCTTGCACCCATGATCGGTCGTGTGCGTAGCGCCCCTCTGGGCTCGGGTTTCGCAATGCGATAGGAAAGCTCAAGGTAACAATGTCAATTTTCGAATTGACATGGAAATATAGACGTGGATATGATTTCCCGATATTTGATATTCGTCATTAGGAAAATTCTTCATAAGGAAGAGGTAGAAAAAGTAATGGAGATATAGAACAGTTGATTTCTCTTCATATTAAGAACTTAAGGAAATGAAATTAGTTCAGTGAGAATTACTTTCCAATTTCCTAGTACTACAATTTATTATTTATCATTTAAAGATATTAGCAGTTCAAATGTTAACAGTTGATTTTTCATCGATAATCGTATCAGAACTTCATTGTTATTGCCATTAGTTATCTTCAATGTAGATCATCCACAATAGTGCATGTGTCCGTTACTTAATGTCTCTACTTATGGTTTACACTGATGAATATTCATAAAATTCTTTACTCAAGTAATTGTCGTTTGCGTGATATCAGAATTGCAAACATGTTATACAAATGTTTACACGTGTTTTCCTCAAATCCTTTCATGGGTCATTCTAAATAGGTGACGATCTTTCGTTCTGACGTAATCATGATTTCATAGTGTTCAATTACATTGTGTGACACTGTCGACTAAATATGGTAGAAGGGACTAAGGATGTTGTTCGTTTTTTAGGTTTCTTTGATATTTACATCGTCAATGACAACCGGTTTTGAGACTGATCCACAAATTTCATTTATTGACTTGTTGGCTCCACTGACGTAATACAGTGGCTCGCGTGTGTATACATAATCTTCTTTAATGGCTAGACATTATTTAATTGTTGTTAATTGAATCAAAAATATTATTTTCTTCATCTGTTACCAATGTTTTCTTAAATAATTTGATTATATTTAAAATTTAAATGAATCTTATTGAATAGAATTGGATTTTTGAGTTGAAAATTCAAATTTTTTAAGTTCCCAACCGGAGTAATTGATATATTCAACAGAGTATACGAGAAAAATTTGATACATCAACGAGTGACTCGTTGAGCGTGATTGAAAATCGAATCTGTCACAGAGATTGCCAAGATCGTGTTACATATGATGTTCATTAGATTAGATTCCAGGAACAAATTGCTACCTGTCGAGCGTAGTAGTAATTGAATCAGTACTACCATTAACCTTGTTTACATATGGATCGTCCACATTTCGTGCGGAACAGAAATATCTTGTATTGTATGACTACTGCTTGTGCGGATTTAATTACAAGGCGTACCACGTGTCAGGCGTTTAAGGTGTTTGACACTATACAAAGTTTATTTTGGTAACTGTATCTACTATATTTATCTCTAAAAATAGATTAGAGTAAGACTACAGCTTTATTTAGCAAAGTTTCATTATGTAAAATTTATTTTAACTGAATTGGTCATTGGACTTGCATCGTTTCTTTTCTGCACTTCTTTTTCTCAATGACTCACATGTGGCGACTCAAAGCATTAGATAATGATGCATAGATCTTTATATAGTATTTGTAATCTTTTTTTTTTTTTTTTCAAGGATTAGTCAGTTTCGGATGTAATAGTTTGAATTTGAATTGTCATTTGTAACATAATATTGTTACTAGTATGCAATAATTCTAATTACCTATCAATTGTTAGTGACTATGAATTATTTATTCGTATTATTTTCTTCTAAGTTCCATAATATTTCTGACAAATTATTTACAATGGAAATTCCGAAGATTTCTATAAATCTTACATTTCCATTTTTTATTATTATTTATTTATTTCGTTAATTGCAAAATTCACTCTTATTCATTTATTTTTTTTTATCACATAGAAAATGGTATAAATTCTTTTATATTGCTAATTACAAATTTTCAAATATTTTGTTCGAAACATCTCATACGGAGAATCATCTTTAATCATCGTCGCGTATGCACAATTCAACGTTCGATCATTTTGTTCTAATCGCAAATCGATCTCGTCGAACAGAGACTTCTACCCACGCGATCGACCTACTACCATCGGTTCGCCCACAGATTGCTCATGAATATTTAATTAAATCAGGAATCGTGATGTTTTTCTTCGGTTTTTTACTGGAAGAAACCGCATGCTTCGAGATAATACGTTCGACTTGCGCTGTAATTGAATTACTGTCGAAAGAGTTATGACATTTCTTATTTTGTTCTTTCTTCTCTTATTAATTAAATAATTTAAATTGAATCAAGAAGTAAAGCTTCTTCAAAAAAATAAGAAAAGAAGAATATTTTAAAATATTTTGATTCTCAGACATCAAAACGAGATTAAGACAGCAAGTACTGCTCTAGAATCTATAATGCATTGTTATAGTGAATGAATAATATTCAAGTATTTAACATATCTTAAATACAATGTTTACAGCATTGTCATCGATCGATTTGCATTCGAACGTGCCTCGTTTATGTAACTTTGCGCTTAATAACTTCGCCCATGAGGAAATGAACTTCCTCTCTTACGTATCAGCCAGTTGCAATTAAAAATCGTATTACGATTTGTATGTGATGCGTAACGCATGATTACTAGATAAGGATCTTAATCTCCCACTACAGTATGTAATGTCGTTCACTATGTGTGTGTCCATTTAGTATTCTTCCTTTTTTTTCTTTCTTTTTTTTCTAAATTGTGTCCTCAATCGCGGCGTTCGACTCTTCAGCAAGATTGAAGACGAAACTCAGTTAAGTTTGTCCCGTAAGAGCATGCTTCTTGTTTCATTTGATTTGCATTGTTCTGCATTGTTTTGCATGATCACAGACCAAATGGATCATCTCTGGGAAACGCACGGCCGTCGATTAAGCGAGGCTGGCCTGCGCAGAGGATCAGGTAGGTGCTTTCTCTCTTTTCTTTCTTTATGTAGTTCTTTATGTTTCCCTTTTTTTCTTTTGTTATAGAGTGCAAAAGTAATCGCCCAAATTTTTGTGAAAACTTAAATGATAAGGTGTTGTCCTGTTGCATTCTTTGAACTTTCGATCAAATCGTATTTATTGTAACTCTATTGTTTAAGTTTCAAGAGAAGGTAATTATTTTAAAAAATCATTGTCGAAACTATTTAATTATTGATGTAATCATTGATCTCTTGTTAGAAATTTTGTTAAAGTATTCAGTTGTTAAAAACAAAAAATATCATTCAGCTATGAAAATTCGAGAAACGTAGCGGGATTATTAAGTATTGAAATTTTAATTCTTAATTATAAAGTCCTATATTTTTTATTTTATTTTTTTTTATATATATTACCATAGACATGTAATCTCTATGTTTGATTATTAATTTTTATTACAAAGTATCGTAGGTTTTCGTTATAATATTAATACGAAGAATACGAGAAAAAATTATCGACCGCATTGCAGAAAAAAATGCAGTGAAGTCCTTACGACTTCATCCCTGCAGTAGAATCTCTGTTATCTTGGCGTTCATCCAGAAACTGTGATTTTTTTCACAGTACTTTAATCAACACTTCAAATTCTTTTAAATCTGTTTTTCATAAAATGGGTGATTACCCTGGCATCTCTCTATGATGACACTTTTTCTGTAAATTGTTTCGTGATATTCATTCGTTTCTTGTAGTTCGTAGCTTTTGTTGCACGTATGCCTGTAATATTGCCTGATTAACTCAAAAATTTGTTGAATGAAGTAGTCAGTATCGACATACGCCTTTAGAAAAAGAATATTTCATTAATAGGAATTTTTGCGAAACACTTGTCGAACACTTATTTATTAAAACGCAGTAGTTTATTTTTTCTTCCAGAATAGTATCTTTCTTCCTGGAAAAAAATTAAAAATAAAACAGAGAACTCGAATTCGGCCAAGAAGATAATTTCGACAAGTTTATCCCCTTTCCAAAGATAATATAGACAAAAAAATAATAGAAAAATAATTCGAATTCGACGAGATTGCCTTTCTTCCTAAAATAATAAGGAAAAACTCCTTTCAACGAGATTATCTTCTCTTTTAAAATTGGAGATTTGAAGAAAAATAAAAGAGCGAGAAACATAAATTAGAGGATCCCAAAAACAAGCAATTAGAAGTTCGAACCAAAAATTCCAACGAAGCAGAAAACCTAGTAGCGCAATTAAACACGTTTATATGTAATTCCATTCCGACTAGATAACAGCGTGGTCCTGACGGAGGACACGGACAGCTTCATAATAGGAGATCGAGTATGGGTCGGTGGCACGAAACCAGGCGCTATTGCCTATATCGGCGAAACTAAATTTGCCCCTGGAGATTGGGCTGGCGTAGTGCTGGACGAACCCATTGGTAAGCCCTAATCTTCGAAGAGGAAATGGTTTACGAACGAAATTTAACGACTAAGTGGACACTTCAGGCAAGAACGATGGATCTGTGGCTGGGTCTCGATACTTCCAATGCGAGCCAAAGCGAGGGATCTTTTCTCGATTGACCAGACTGACCAGAGAACCGTTAATCGATGTCACTGAAACGTCGCCAATACAAAAGACACCTACGTCACCACCTGAGAGCCTCAGCAAATCCATGTCCCCGTCTCTGAGTAAGGATCGTTGCAGGAGATATTACCCTCGTTCGTAGTGTGCTTGAACTTTCTGTTTAAGAACGTCAAGAACGAGAGTTGCGCAAGAGGAATTTGAACGAATTTGTTCTTTTCGTTTTAGTTTCTTCTCCCTCTCTTTACGTTTCTCCTTTTGACAGAGTCGTAGAATAGAAAGAAGCTGTTTGTTTGCTGTTCGAGAATTTTGTAGGTTTTAAGATGTATATTGTAGAGTATTGTATAAACTATAGATTAGATAAGCTGTACAAGTTCTGTCTACTAAATTAAATTTAAAATTTCGATTTACAAAATCAAACGTGGATGTGGATCTCATATTTCTTTTACAAAAGAAGAGCTTGAGCTTAATCACTATATTTAAAATTATTTAACTGTTAACTATGTAGCTGTACCATTTCTTGATGTCAGATTTATTATTATAAAATCTTTTTTTATTACCTGATCATTAAGTACTAAAATATGAAATAATAAATGTTAAATAACATTGAAATAATCTAAATGTAAAGTAAGTTTCATGATTAAAGAAACATAACTCAAACTATAAATTGTTATTTTGGCAAGATAGTTTATCATAATGCTGTAAGGCATGTTAATTTCTTCTTTCATAAAATCTATATTAAATTTTTGGACGAACATGAAGCAAAAGATGGGCAGAATTTGTGTAGCAACCAAATATTTCATGATCAATTCAGGATAATTTATGTAAAGTTTAAGTTTCCTGCAAAATTCTCTGTAAAATTGTTTTTGCTTTTCTGAGTGAAATATTCAGTTGCACGCTGTGTAGCTTAAAGTCACATTATGTAGACTGTTTTATTGTTGTATCTAACATGTAGCACGTTGTGTAATATTTGGTTTGTAGCGTCACAACTTAGACAATTTAAATTTCTCTGAAAGAGATAATGTATATATTGTTTCATTATGCATCGTAGTGTAGTCTACGTTTTCTAAATGTTTGTTTATTTATCCACACATCGTGTTTCCTGCGTTTAATAAATAAATTTGGATACTGCTTCCTCACTTTCTTATCATCGATCAAACTATAAATATTGTAAACATTTGATCTGATATTTAAATGATTCTCATTTGTTATTTCTTTAAAAAAATTCTTAGTGTTTTTAATTCAATTTTCAGTAGAATTGATCTTGAATTTCTTTTTTTTTTTTTAATTTTTGACTCTTTGTTCCTTAGATTCTTTGAATTGAAACATGAATATATTAAATAACAATATTAATATTAATATATTTTAATAACAATATCCAAATTATTGATCACGGTAAAATTAAAAATATTTCATATTTAAAAATTTGCATTAGCGTAAATTTTTATAAATCTCATTTTTAACTAGTTGAGGGTTAACTGCAATCATCAAAAACATCTTTTTAACGAAGTTATTTTGCGTAATCTTATCTCAATGTTTCACGCACGTATCTGCTCTGAAAAAATTCATTTACTATAAGAAACCTATTGTAACTCGTCACGCAGACGCATCAACGACGAGTATATCGTCCATCGTGTCGCAGAAGGATCTCAGGATAGGTGACAGAGTAATAGTATCGTCCAGTCAAGGCAGCAAAACCGGTGTCCTGAGATACGTCGGTACCACAGAATTTGCACTCGGCGAATGGTGCGGCGTGGAATTGGATGAGCCGATTGGAAAGAACGACGGCTCCGTCAACGACAAGAGGTCTGCATCAATTATCAAAATTTATAGTCCGGATCAAAGATCTCGATCGCTCAAGATCTCTTCCTCCGCCGTTCGCTCCTCCCCACAGAAGAACTTTAAATTTCTCAGGTCCTTTCATTACGTTTGAGATTTTTTCAAGTTTTTATTATTCCTTTTTTTATATTCTTGTTACTTTATCATTACGTAAAACAAAGGAACAGTCTCTAATTCAGTTCACAATAGAGCACAGATATCCGCAGCGTGGGAGTATTGTTTTGTTCGATTCCGCAACGTCGAATTAATTAACGTGACTCGATCACAGTAGCTGTATTTATAGCCTCGATCTCATACAGAACAGATGTAAACGGATAACGATGACAGCCTTGAGATTTCTTACCAGTGTTCTCTCTTACTCTAAAAAAGAAAAAGTTGAAAAAAGATCAAGCTAAGTTTCCATTAGTCCCATTAATTATATAACAAAATAATGAGTGAACGAAAAAAAAAAAAAAAAAATGTAAAGACATCAATTAGCTCCTACTTTTCGTCTCTGCTTTGCTAACCAGTTTAGCGTTCATTCAGGTACTTCGAGTGTCGACCTAAATACGGGCTGTTCGCACCCGCGCACAAGGTCAGCCGGTCGCCGTCCAGCAAAAGGTCATCATGCATAGTGCACAAGCCAACCGGCGCCGCCCTGAACATGTCCCTGAGGAAGACCGGTTCCAGAGAATCATTGGCCTCGGTGTCGAGCATCATCAGCACTACCCCGAGCACAGTGAGCAGGGCTAGTGTCAGCGCCACGAGGGTAAGATTCACCGTGCCAGAGTGAGGAGGATCGCCTGCAGCTTGTATCTTCTCTCCAGAACGCAGATTCCTGACTGTCCAATCTGTTTGACACTTCGTTTGAACAATCAGAGAAAGATAGATTAGTCATTTGTGAAATCGGAAGACTGCAGATTTTTATGCATTTAAAGGCATGAAATAAGCAGATGACATATTAGTCTGTATATTAGTAAAGCACTGAAGTAAAAAAAACTTAGGGTCATACAGCATTTTGTATGTATTGTTAAAATTATTAGTAGTGTTTATTTTGGTACCAAATCTGTACCTTGAGATCTAAAATATTTGGAAAGTAAATGATTCTCTGATTGTTCTAAGGAATACAACAAACGCGTTTCTCTTAATTTGTATGAATAAAGCATCACCTCTTCTGTTAGACTGCTTTGAAACGCGTTTGCGAGTGATATTGCGTGTTGTTAGCTTGTTAGTCCAATAGTAACGTTGTTACATAGATTGACATAGATATACATATATATATTTATATGTGTGTGTGTTAAAGTTGTTATCGATGTTGCTGTTCTTGTTAATAACATTATCCATTATTAGATATTAGTTTAAGTCGAACTTAATTCATGATCCAAAGAGATGTTCAGTATTCCTAATCTTTGGATGGATTTAATTTTTATCGACTGCTTAAGAAAGTCATGTGATCGTACAGTATTCTTTTCATAAAATCTTTATACACCTTTTTTTATCAAGAAAAAATAATATATATTTATTTATTGGAAGAGGAAGTAAGTAAGAATAGGAATTGTGGAGTTTAACTGTATGGCTGTTGCATGATATACTTTTATTTTTTTGTTGCATCCAAAATTCTAGCGGCCTGGTTTGCGCACCTCGACACCTGCACGAATCACCCTGCAGGTGAGATTATGATTTAACATTTAATTGCCATTCCCCTATTTAATTAGGAATGTAATAAATGATATTCTCCATACACTCTACACAACAGAAAGAGATTAACAAACATATGGTATTTGCATAAATTTAAAAATAATCTGTATGATTTAAGAGCCAAGGTTTGCCATATTAATTCATTTAGAATATCATTACAGATATTAAAAATTTATTCGTTAGTGCGTTATCGCTAGTTGTACAGTAGATAATAAGTAGAAAAGTACTCTGATATTTGTATGTGATGTTAATAAAATCATCCGTCCATTCCTCTTAATCTCCTTATACCTATCTAAATATGTACCTAGATGGGTATCTCTTTTGTAAATTAATTTTTTTTTTATTTATTTACTTATTTAACTGGACGAAAATATTTTATGTTAACAATATTGTAAAACTTATTTTCCTGCCATTTATTATGCAAGTCGTATTTATTTAATTAAATGTTATCAGAACAAGTGTGTAATAAATAATTTAACCAATTTAGTTTACACGCTTTTGAAATTCGTGCTGAGAATGAAGTATTCGATATACATATTTATTGTTGATGATGTAGAGATGAATATATGTATTTAAGTTGCAAATTTTGTATCAGAATAACACTACGCGGCTTGCATATTTATCGAGTAAACTTAGTTTGCTTTTCTTGCATTTATTAAAAACCGGTTCTCCTGTAACATAAGAACGACAAAAATTTAACATAAAGAACGTAGTATGAATAGAACAAACATGGTCTTTATATAAATATATATAGACGCATGTTTTGATGGCAATAATTAAATATTTGCTTTTATTAAGGTTAATGTAGGAAGTAGTATTATGATATAAATTCATATGTTATTCGTTTGTTCTTGAACAAATGTGTATTGTAATGCTGCAATGAGAAATCCTTACAATAGAGCATTCCGAATAAATATTCAAACAATATTTGCAATTTTTTCTTATACATTCTTACGCATTTTTTCATCTCCATCATTTCTAGGAAACGTTAAAGGAGAAACAACAAGAAATCGAGATTCTGCGGAAAGAACGAGATTTAGAACGTGAACGAATTACAAAAGCCGCAAATCAAGCAGATCAAGCAGAACAGTCGCTTATTTCAATAACAAAAGAATATGAGCAGGTTGTGATATTATCACGCATCATTTGTATTGTCGTTTAATTTTATGATGATATTCAAAGAGTAATTTTAATTTTAGTATCGAGAGAAAATGCAGAAAACTGTTACTGAGGTGGAGGTTGCGTTTTCAAAATTACTCGAGGAGAAAAATGCACTTGCTCTGCAACTGGAGGAAGAGAAAAGGAAGTGCGAAGATCTTCTGTTTCGTTTTGAAGAAGAGTCGGTTAACAAGGATGATATTCAGGTACACTTCATAACTGTATAACTTTTATTCCAGATATGTTAAGATATATTAATTTGATATAAAGTATGTTGTAAGGTAAGTGTGAACATTTATAAGAAGAATTTAAAAAATAAGAGTTTTTTTAAACAATAAAACAGGAAGTAAAATAAAAGAACATATACATGGTTTTTATATTTTTTCTTACTTCACTTTGTTTTGTCAAGTTTCTAATTCTGTTGCAAGATTAATTATAGATCAATTGTTCACAAAGATTACAAAGAATTATAGAATATTAAAATTAGGGATTAGATGCTTGCCCTACAATTGAAAGCTTATATGCAAAATGGTGATGGGTAAAACTATAGCATATGTAATTTAATTTAAAAGACTTAATTTAAAATTCTCCAAAATAATCATTCGTAAGCAATAGTTAGAACTGCATTTTAAAAAGATAATTAACCAAAAATAAAAGATTTTATACGGTATATGACAGTATCTAGGCTGTGGGTTAACGTAAAAACCTTATCGTTTCTTTTCAGAAAGAGAGAAGTGAGCAATGTGTGAGTATCCGATGGCAGCCATATGGGATAGAGGAAGGGTTCATGATGCTGTATTGCTGCACCGCTTCTCTTATCGTCACTGTAGTCATGTCGTTTAGCATTTCATTGCAAATTTGTGCAAAAACTAAATGATGTCATATAGTATCTCTTCCATGCTTTCTCGACTAATTAATTCATAATTTTCGTTAACATTAAATATTAGAATAATTACAATAATAGTACTATCTATTGGTGCTCATAAATTAATTAGGATATATAAAACTGAAAAGAAACATAAAAAAAATGAAAATATTACCAATTGAAGAAATTGAATTTATATTATATAATAAATAGATTCAGTTGTTACGTATTTGTGACAAATGTAATAGTTGTTACATATAATTTGTTAGAGAGGTGCGGGATTAACAAGCTTTACAGTGCACTGCAAATTTAATTGCTGTCTATTTCCAATATCGCTTTTTTTCACACCAAAGTGCTTTATATATAAATCAATTATTAATACGTGATATGTAATCAAGTCATATGAAAAATTTAAAAATCAATGTAATTTATTTATTTATTTATTTTGTTTATTTATTTGTTACTCTGTTGTTTATTTATTATTTATTTATTTTATATTTTTATTTGTCTCATTACGTCAAATTTGTATATTTTTGATTTGGTTATATTATACACAGTTATATATTATACACACATATTATATACAAAATTATTTATACACATAGTTGTATATAAAAAATGATATTCTTTTATTTTATTGCATTTTCGCCTAATTCAATTTCGTCGGTAAAAAAACTTATATTGCGCTTAATGCGCAATTTTAATGTGCTTTATGTTAGTTAATATATGTATTTAAACTGATTTATAATAATATTAAACAAGTACATTTGTGGTTAGGTGATAAATACTGTAAATGAAACTAAGATCAAAGATCTCGAGAAGCAATTGCTGGAAGAAAGAGAACGTGTTGCTCAACTTGAACATGATAGCATCAAATTATTCGAAACGGAAGAGGAATTGGCACGTATTCGCAATGAAGCTTCTAATGCTGCTACTCAAGAAAAACATCAACTGGAAGGTACTTTAGGAAAGGATATTTTATCACATATTGTTTTCACTTTACAGTTTAATCACAGCTTATTTTAATCATCACATACATATTTTAATAATCACACATTAATTTAGACTTACAGAATCGCAATAAAATTTTAGAAGAAAGTAGAAATAATCTTGAGAATGAGGTGCAAGAGAAAAGAATACTTATGGAGCAATACATAACTCGAATAGAAGAATTGGAATCAAAATTGAATGAAAATCAGCATGAAACTGCAGCTCATAAAGAATCAGAAACTAGTTTACGAACAGAAATAGAACGTGCAACGAAAGATTTGCAAAAAAAGAATACGTTGATAGAAGATATGAAAAAGGAATTCGAACAGAGTACAAATACTTTGAAAGAACAATTACAAAAAGCTACAGAAACGATAGAAAATATTAAAAAGGAAAGTACGAGCGAAAAGGAATTGTTGATGTCTAAGTATGAAAAGATAGTTGAAGAGAAAGAAAGTCTTCTGAAAGCAAAAACGCAAGAATTAGAGCTACAATCAAAGAAGCAATTTGAAGTACAAAATGTTGCGTTGGAGAATCTTAAGACTGAGAATATGAAACAAATTAATAAACTTTCAGAGTCTTTCAATGAACAATTGAACATGAAAGATTCGAAAATTAAAGAAGTTTCTAATCAACTCGATCAGAAAATATCTGAGACTGAAAAACTGATGGCTGAATTATCTACGCAAATAAACATAAGTAAGAAGAAAGATGAAGAATTATCCGCCGCCTTAAAACAACTCGAAGGTATGTTAACAATATGAGACATTCAAATATTAATTTAAAATATTTGTAATTTATTAATTTACAGAGTTAAATGAAAAGCTCAAATTAATGGAAGAAAGGAATAGTTTGCTTTCTAAGCAAATTCAGGAATATCAAACAGTGGCTGAAGATAATTTTAAAGTAGTTCAGGAAAAGCAGAAATTGGTAAGTACTTTTCTTTATAAATATTATGTTCTGAATAATAATAAATGTTTCGCTACTTTAGGAGCATGATATCGCTTCTTTAATTGCTACCGAGGCTAATTCTTCAGCACAACTGAAAAAATTAAGCGAAGAATTAAAAGTAAAAGAAAAGGAATTATCAGAACTTCGTTCAACAACTGCAGCTGAAATAGAAGAATTAACTAAACGTTATCAGGATCAAATTGAAGAGAAAGCAAAATGTATAGAAGAAGCAAATGCTTATATATCTCAAAAATCTCTATTACTCGATAAATTAGAAAATGATGTCCGAGAATTGAAATCGATTCTTGCCAATAAAGATGAAGAAATAAAAAATCTCACACAAAAGACTTTAGGTAATATATAAATTTAATTGTAATAATTATATCATTGAACTAAGTTTATTATTCTATCTATATTTCAGAATTGCAAAACGCACTAACTTTGTCAGAACAAGCTAAAACGAATCTGGAGACTGAATTCTGTGGACTTCAAAGTAATATAGAACAATTAAACCAACAAATTGCTGGTACAGAAAATAAATTATCTCAAGTCACTTCCCAAAAGGAAAAATTGGTTAGTATTACTACTCTAGAGTTTAAAAGATATAATTATTAGATGTAAAATATGTAGTTATTCAATTTATGTTTAGGAAGCTGATATTACAAATTTAATAAGCACTTCTACTAATTCATCGGAGCAACTTATGAAATACAATGAGGATTTACGAGCGAAAGAAAAAGAACTTGCTGAATTTAAAGATAAAATATTCAAAAATGAAACTATCCTCAAATTATTAGAATCAAAGTTGACTAACACAGAGGCAGAATTAAATAAAGCTAATACACAAATTCAAGAGCAACATACAGAATTAGAAAACAGAAAATCTGAATTAGAAAAGGAGAAGAAATTAAACACGGAGTTATCTGGTAAAATAAAAGGATTTGAAACAGAAAATATAGAACTTCAAAAACAAATAAAAGAAAATGATCATATTAAAGAAGAACTTAAAGAAAAAACCCAGGAATCATTGAATCTTTCAAGTGAATTAAACAATACTAAAGAAGAAATCCTTAATCTACAATATCAATGTGAAGCTTTAAAAAATTCACATAAAGAAGAAATATCTTCTGTTGAGAAAATGATAAATAATTTAAAAACAGAACTAACTACTTCTCAAGAGGAAACAAAGGCTTTGCAAAAGATAAAATCCAAGTTAGAAGCAGATCAAAGTGCTAATCGTTGGTCAATTGAAGAATTGACAGAAAAGCTCGAAGCTGAAGCAACAATTCGTACGAAATTAGAGTCATTAATAACAGAAAAAAATTCCAGTCTGAAAAAATTACAAGAGAAATATGAAGACTTACAAAGAACGAACGAAACTTTGATAACTAATAAAGAAGCTACTGACAAGAATCTTACAACATCATTAGATAGTATGTCCAATGAAGTACAAGAATTAAAAGATAAATTAGATGTTACCATGAAAACGATTAAAATCAAAGAAGATGCTCTTACCCAAATGAAAAAAGAAGCTAAAGAAACTGAAGCACAAATTTTAAAACTCAATAACACTGTTTCTTCTATGCAAAAAGAACAAACAGATAAAGTGATCGAAATGAAGAAATTACAAGAGATATTATCAGAAAAAGAAAAAGAAATATCTAACAATACGAAAACAAAAATTTCTTTAGAAAATAATCTCAAATCTCTAGAATTAAAATTAGAGGAAAATGTGAAAACTTTAGAATCACAGTTAAAGACTGTACAAAATGAATTGGATGTAAAAAATGGTATACTTCGAGAATCAGAACATATTATAAAAGAATTAAAAAGCTCCAAAGAAGAATCTGTAATGAAATTACAAAGTACTTTAGAATGTGAAATGAAAGCTAAGCAAACTGAACTTGAATCTGCAATGCAGAAAAATACTGAATTACAAAAACAGCAACAATTACTTCAAGATACTATAGAGAAACAAATTAATGATTTTAATAATAAAGAAATAACGATCAATAAATTAACAGCACAACTTAAAGCTTTAGAAGATGCACAAATGGAAAAATTAAATAATGAACAGATGCAAAATAAGGAAGTCAAACTCATTCAAAGTAAACTAAATGAAGTGATTAAAGAAAACAGAAATTTACTTGAGAGTAAGGAATCTTTTGAAAGATTGCTCGCAGAACAAGAACAGAAATCTGAAATGTTGACAAATACCATAAAAATGAAAGAAAAAGAAACTGAAAAAAATATTCAAAATTTGATAGAAAAATTGAACATTATGTCCACGGAATCCGCACAATTAAAAGAAGCACAAAATAATTTGTAAGTATAAAAAATATAATTTGGAACTTTTTCTAATACTACTTCGCAAATTTATATCGACTGAATATTTTAGGGAAAGAGAAAATAAACAAATTACTGCTAAATTGGCGGAAGCAACAAATCAATTGAAACTAACTCGTGAAAACATAAAGAATAATTACGACGTAAGTTTTTAACTTTGAATTTAATATAAGTTCTCTACAAATGAGTATATAATATAAATTGTAATTTATATTACAGACAGTTGGAGATGATATAAAACATATAGGTAAAATTTGTTTTAAATTGATTAATTTTCTTTATAATTCATATATTATGAAATTAAATTATTAATTTCAGTTGATAAAGATATTGACATATTAAAATTAAAAGAGGAACATGAAACAGCGAAGAGTCAAATAGATTTCTTAAACTCTGTAATAGTGGACATGCAACGTAAAAATGAAGCTTTATTATGCAAAGTTGAAGTTCTTGAAATGGGAGTGCCCGCCAACGAAGCTGATGACTACACAAAGTTCGTAGAATTGAACTTTTAAATGAAGTTCTAAATGAAGATATGTTACAACAATTATATAATATTTATTAACTATTTCTAGAACCACATTAGAAAAACGAATGGCTGCGCCACGTATGTTCTGTGATATTTGTGATCAATTCGATTTGCACGAAACCGAGGATTGTCCACGACAAGCTCAAGATTTTCTAGATACAGAAAAGGTTGTAAAACCTCCGAAAAAAACGCCAGTGGAAAGACCATACTGCGAAAACTGTGAAAGTAAGAATTTATTTTTAGTTTTGTGAATTGCAATTCTCTTTACATTTGTTTGTACTATTCTCTTTCCTAGGAAGAAAACCAAGCATTTAAAGTTTTCTTCTAAATTTTTGAAATGAACAAATATTTTAATATTGACTAATACAATGTTTTTATTTTAAGCAATCCTGTTGAATATTTCATACTAATCCGTTTAACGATTTCTCGCATTTCTATCCGATTCCATTTACAATTGTTTTACCTGTTTTGCAGTGTTCGGACACGATACTCGTGATTGCGATGATGCTGAAACCTTTTAATGGCGTGTTGTCATTTGTTGACCTATTGCTTCTCAAAGATACAAAAGAAAAGACCTGTTAAGATTTTTGCAGAGTATATTTTTATATGAAAGAATTTAAATGCTACAGTTATGTGCATGTCTTCCTGCATAGGGATATGCGTGTCCATCCAAAATACATCGATAATTCGATGATAAATTTGTGCTCCTTGTGTTAAATTCATGATTTTAAAGTTTATATATGTTCATCAAAATGTTTTTGTGTGTATATCTGTTGTGCTTCCACATCATTGTTAAAGGTCATATATCAATTCTATTACAAAAGTTATGACTTAAGTTGTAGTACATTGCTAAATTATATTGTAGAATGGGAGCTTATTCTATTTGCATAATGAACAGTTTAACGCGTACGAGACTTTGAATGAAGTCAAATGTAATTATGTACATACTAGTTATTTATGTCAACTTCTAAATGTATTTAATAATTTATTTAGTGTTTAAAAATGTCATACATTTAATAATAGTTCCTTTAATGAATGAATTCAATGAATGAGCCATTAGGATTAGTCCAAAGGATTTCTTACACAATTTCTCAAAACTTATATTGACATGATTGGTAGTACACTTTTTCTGAAAAAATATTCATATTTTCTGCATAATGAAAGTAAGTATTTATTGTTTTGCGTGTATGTTTTGTTTTTGCTATCAACCTTTGTACAAAATTTGTTTCAGGAGAATTGTACTACTATAACTTACCTTCATCTTGCCTTTTAACTGTATGCTATAATACAGGGTTGATATCTTGTCTCGAATTTGAATCTTGTCTCAACTGTATATTTAATAAATTAGAACTAAGCTTTGTAGTTAAAAATGAATAAAATTGTAAGAGACTGATTTTAGTATTTTGTATAAACTTATTTAAATGGAATAACAGTAATTCATTTTGAACAATAAAAAATTGAACATTACATGTTTCCTATTTTTGAGAGAAAAGCTAATTTAAAATAAAGAATCAAATTCTTTTTTACTTTCTAAAATTTTTATTTAGTTGTTCTTACATACAAATGCAAGTAACTGTAATAAATTGGGTCTCTTAGTAATCCAAAAAGTTGACATCTTATTTACATATTTTCTTAATTATCTAAAATCAATATCAAGAATAACTTATGATTTAATCTAATCCTTCCTTCTTCTCCTTAATAGCTTCCTGAAATATTATATGTACAATATTATAAGCAGATAACAATTTGTAACACATACATATATATTAAATCTTTACCTTGAAACGTTCTTCAAATAATGAAAGTTCTGCTATGAGATCTGTAATAGCATGCATAAATGCTTCGTGTGGCGTATAGTCTGATGTAGTTTGAATTCTAATCACAAACTTGTGTTCTAATGGGTGTGGAACTTTGTATCCAGCGAACAAAACTTGAGGATCCTTCAGTAACTGACTATTAAATAATAGTACAGATCACTATAATAATGTACTATGGTATATTCTAAAAATTGCATTCATTTTCATAAAATTGCAAAAAACTGTACTTACTTTCGGATCATGTTTCCTAGGGTATGATCTTCCTTATTAACAGTAAAAATCGCAGCATTGGGAACTTTAGTGTCTTGTTCTTTGATTATTCTATAAATGAAACGAAAATCATACATATCATCTTATTTCGACGAAAACTGCCAAATTGGTTAACTAGTTTACAATACATACTTTTTCTCTCCTTCGTATAAAAGGAATGATTCAAATGTCGGAGGCGCATTCATATTGCAATCTGATTATATTTAGCGTGAAACAGTTATCGAGGATTTTTTTTTCAGAAATCTTAATTATTAATAAAACCACGACAACACAAGTACGATAGTTCACAAACTAAAAGCTAGTAACAATTGCTATATTATAGATGGAATTATAATTACATCTAAAGTTACATCGTAACTGCAGCGCTCTCTACATTGGCAGCGTCATTTTGTATATCTTAAAGTTTAATTCAACAGAAACAATTCATCAATACAAAAAGAAAAAATGTAATGATAATAAGTAGAGCTTTTTTGCTTTGATTGAAATTTTTGTATTTCAAAGAAATTTCAAGTATTTCTCTTTAATGCAAATGAAACACAGATACTTGATTCTACTTTAAATATCTATTTCCAGAGGATTATTAAGTCTAGTATGATCTCGTGATCAGTTAATAAAGCAAAATATCGACAGTTAGCGCTGTGCGCCCCTGCGAGCCTCCATCTGATTATCATGTCGTTCATGGTCAATCGGCTAAGAAGCAGGTCTCGTTCTGCCTTCGCCGGAGCCGCAAAATAGTTGTCAAAATGGCGGGCGAAGGTTCTGCAAGTGCTAATCCAAATTGTGAAGTCGTGCGTGGACAAACGTTTGAGGTTGGTCCACGATACACGAATTTATCCTACATGGGCGAGGGTGCCTACGGAATGGTTGTGTAAGTGTCTTCGAGTCAATTTCTCTTGTTATTTCCGAGAACATTTTGCTGTGTATTAACTAGCTGACAGACCGAAAGATAAACAATCAGAAACATAGTCATCGAGTGAATTACCGATTTCACTGCAAGATTTTCGTTCCGCAACGTATACGAAAGATTTTAATTTTACCCGAACACCGTGTGCAGCTGCTACTAAGTGTTATTCATCGTAATGTATCATTGTCTTTTGGCGCCAGTTTTAAACACGGTTGTCACACCCTTTCAAACCCTTGTCCACTTACGTGTTAATGTTGCGACTTCCTTGTTCCCATCGCTTATCTTTCGCTTATCGGTCTTATCATTGTACCGTTAGCAAAATCACAATCACATCCAATATTTTCGCAGAAATAGCCAATTTCTGTGCGAAAAATTTTCGAATTTTTTTTTCTTGAGAATTTTTCTGATTTATTTTTTCAAATCGTTTCAAGCTTGTTCTCTCTTTTTTTTATTTTGTTTCATTACTTGCTTAATTGAAGTCGTATTTTATTTTCATACCTTGGAGCTGTAACTTGTAATTTTGTAACTTGTAATTGAATTTAAGCATATGTTAAATTTTCAAAAAGTAGGAGACTTTCTAATATTGTAAAATTATTTCTTGTAATGTGGTTTCGAATTAGAAGATGCAAGTACAATGTATATACGTATATTACAGTGTGCTGGTTTCCTTTGTTAATGATGTCACTATGTTTTGCATATATGATGCGATAAATTTTTAATAAAGAAAATAAAAATTTTAAACAACTTTTTAAATATCTTGGAATTTTTTTTACAGATCTGCTTATGATAATGTAACAAAAACAAAGGTAGCCATTAAAAAAATTTCACCTTTTGAGCATCAGACATATAGTCAAAGAACATTAAGAGAAATAAAAATTTTGACTAGGTTTAAGCATGAAAATGTGAGTAATTTGTTATACATAACTGTTCTATATATATATATATATATATATATATATATATATATATTCATTTTACATTTTCTTTTTTAGATAATAGATATAAGGGATATATTAAGGGCACCTACTATAGAACAAATGAAAGATGTATATATTGTTCAGTGTCTAATGGAAACTGATCTCTATAAACTTCTCAAAACACAGGTCAGCATAGCTAATGATTACGATTAAAATTATTTCAAGAAATATTAATGTATTTAAATTTTATTTATTAATTTCAGGATATTAGTAATGATCACATATGCTATTTTCTTTACCAAATATTAAGAGGATTAAAGTACATTCACTCTGCAAATGTATTACACAGAGACTTGAAACCGAGCAACTTGCTATTAAATACCACATGTGACCTTAAAATCTGTGATTTTGGTTTAGCTAGAGTTGCTGATCCAGAACATAATCACGCTGGTTTTCTTACTGAATATGTAGCAACAAGATGGTATAGAGCTCCAGAAATAATGCTTAATTCCAAGGTAAATAAATAATGAAATATTTACTGTAAAAAAAATGTAACAGAATATTAAATCTCATTTAATCCTCCTTTTTACAGGGTTATACAAAATCTATAGATATTTGGTCAGTTGGTTGCATTCTTGCAGAAATGCTTTCAAGAAGAGCAATATTTCCTGGCAAACACTATTTAGATCAACTGAACCATATATTAGGAGTTCTTGGATCGCCATCCCCTGAGGATCTTGAATGCATCATAAATGAAAAAGTACTAGTACTAGAACTAAAGTTCTTTATATTTAGTGATTCATTCACTGATTGAAAAAATAAGTATTAACATTGTTGAATAACTGAAATGTTATTTTAGGCACGAAATTATCTTCAATCATTACCATATAAACCAAAGCTTCCGTGGACAAGTTTATTCCCAAATGCTGATCTCCGAGCTTTGGATTTATTAGATAAAATGTTAACATTTAATCCTAACAAACGAATTGTTGTAGAGGATGCACTTGCACATCCTTATTTAGAGCAATATTATGATCCAGCTGACGAAGTACATATCTTTTACTATTGGACATCAATATACAAATAACCAAGATAAATTTCATAATATACCCAATTTTTAGCCGGTTGCAGAAGAACCGTTTAAATTTGACATGGAGTTAGATGATCTTCCAAAAGAAGTATTAAAACAATATATCTTTGAAGAAACTCTGTTATTCCAAAGGAATCATCAAGAGAACGCTATGTAGTCTACTGGTATTTATCTTTTTTTTTTTTATTATTTTGAATATTATAAGAAACAATAAATGATCAATACCTTATGTTAAAACGAGCAATAATGTTTCAGCTGCGATGAGCCTGTAGAGCGGCCAAAAAAAGGGCGAAGATGTGACGTCAGAGTAACAGAAGTGTACTTCTTTTACAGTTTATGATTGAAGAAAAAAAGAAAAAAAACATAGAAAAAACAGAATAAAACAAAACTTTTATGAAGGTGTTTTACCGAAGCATGGATTAAAAGTCGAATTACAAAACAAACATACAGAGATGAGTTTGAAAAAACGAGCAAAGGGAGTGGTAAATGAGGTAAAAAAAATAAACAGACCGCAATGTCCGTGCATATACTTGTACATTCGCATGTCTTTACTGGAGAAACAAAAGAAACAAAATACAGTGTTTTTTTTTTTTTTTTTTTTTTTTTTTAAAATTG